GTGTTTTTCATATCACTAGGGTGAAACTCCATCGTGGTAATCTATTCCATCGAGAGGCAACGCCGTTATTCGAACTTTCAAAATTCATCGATTATTTAATCACGGGTGGAAATCACCATTGAAATTGATACAACTTTTTCATCATACCTGTTTTCGAATTTTTTCGATTACTGAACCTTGCTATCATCTCAAGCGCCTCGTTCAACCCGTTCATCTCCTTCTTGAGTTTATCTTGCTGTCTGTGCTCAACTTTCACTCTACCATCTAACTCCTCTAATTTCTGTCGTGCCTGACGCCGACACACTCTGGCTTTTTCTCATGGTCATTCTTGAGGACCCACATCGAACACTTCTTGCCGAAAGAGTCGTATTTTCGCTTGCTGCACGCTACGTATTCGGGAGGTCGGTGCCACAGAGGCTATCTCAGTCGAGAGCCGCTCTGAAACCGAGTGCTGGAATATTTCATCGCCTCCCATGGCTGACCTCAAGAGGTTACTCACTAGTACGAATTCCGGTAGGAGTGTACAGAAAGCAATCCAAATCTTCCCGAAATTTTCCCGCATTATACTGTGACACATGCATGTGATTATGCTGTGAGATCCACTCAATGAAATTGATTTTCACTGTGGAGACATCTCACCGTGTTAAAGCCTTATGATATTCTAGCTGTGTACACCACGTGTTGTGGGTCCAGTTTGCCTACACCCTTGCTATGTTATCAAACCTTCGCCTTCCTCTTCATACCGAATGAGCCCAATATCGATTACTGTGCTGCAGCAGCACAGTAATCGATATTGGCAACACTGCTGCTGCTAAATGTGAGCATTCGTGCAGAACTCAAGTGCAGGTAGTGCGCTTATTATTATTGTCCTAGGGTCGTAGTATTAGTTGCTCTATCTCGAGTTCGCTTGTTGTGTTGTTCTTAGAGTTCATCAACTGATACCGCGACACATGGTAGACAACCATTGTGTGTGATAAAGGATAGGTTAGTGTAGCCTTTAGTTGCTAAAGTCACTATCTAGATTTTACTTTGGTTCATGAATTCGCACAGTACTGGAAAAATGGAGACGATGGAACGTGATATAAACCCTTACTCTTCATTTCAGACATAGTGCGAGTCTTTCCTGCGCGATCAGACCAAAGTGAACACGCGTTCACATACGTTCGACACGTTCATAACTCGTCTATCTTAAGTCGCCTACCTAGAAGCTGTTCTTTATCATTGATTTCCCCTTGTAATGCTTCCCTCTTTCTCTCCAGCCCTTGTGATCTCTCATTGCTTTCATCAAGTCCCAACGATACCTGCAAGGACACATACTCTCACCCGACTCTAAGCCTACCTCGTGTATTCGCTGCTCCACTGTCACTCGACCAATGGCATGGTCAGCGCTGTTTTCACACGCAACAGCACATTCCGTGTGCCTTTTAGCACGGCTTTTTGCTTGTTCCATATCAGTTCGCGCTTTCTCCAATTCTTCCTCCATTCGACTTAGCTCTAACAAAGAAATCCTTCCTAGTGTAACATATTCGATATCAAACCGTAACACTAAATACGGGAAGGTTCTCCGTTCTTCACACAAGTGTGAAAAAATATGCACATGATCAACTACATGTGTTGATAGCAATTTGAGAACTCTGAGGAAATTTTGGCAAATTTTCATTGGTTCCTGTATACACTTCTACCCGAACTCGTATGTAAACTCCTATAGTGAGGAAACTCTCAAGCCAAATCAAGCAAAGTATTCCGCAACTATCGCGATATACTCCATATCAATGAATACCACGCAGAAACAATATTCACAAGAGTCTATCCCACAAAGCACACGTGACGCTCACCTTCCATTGTCTCTGTCTTCATCCGCTCAAAATTTTCAAATTCCGCCCTTCTTTCTCGCTTCGCTTTTTTCAAAGCTTCATATGATGCACTGATAACAATGGAGTCCCACCAGTGATGTGAAAACACTAGTGGTTTTTTTTCACGACTACTGCATATCACCGCGAATATGAGAATTACGCCACTTCACGCAAAATGGGTGAAACTCCAATGAATGAAAACGAGTGTTCCTCCTTTGCTGTTCCACAGGGATAAAGAAAACACAGAAAATCTACTGCATTCGAAGAATCGATAATTTGTTATTGTCACAAGTAATTTCTGCGAGTGGTACCGATCCCCTCATACAGTGCCAAAATCACCACTAAACAGTGAATGGTCAACTACGCATGCTGGTGTAAATATGAAAATTCTAAGAAAATTTTGGGGAATTTATTTTTGGTTTCTATACACTTGTACAAGAATTCGGGTTCGTAAATTCAACTCCTGAGCTCAGCTGGAGGAAGCGAGCTCATATTCCAACAC